CAGGGGTTCAACAGAGGTTACCGGTGCACAGCAGATCGAGGTCCGTTCTCTCGTCTTCGGAAGCGGAACCCTTCCGGTGCAAGCTCGAGAAGTTGTCGCCCGGGACGCTTACATCAGCGGAGCTTCTCTCTTGCTGACGCAAGCTTCTGCTGACGAGGGCAGCTCCGCGCTGTTCTTCAAACCCGAGACTGGATCCATAACCTTCGCGGTTAGCGATCAGCCGCCGCAAGGTTACGTCTTTGCGGTGGAAGCATTCCAACCCGTTGGATGCTCCCCTGAGGACGCGTGGCAGGCATCCGCTAACAACACCCTAGGCACGTGCACCTGGCTTCACGCGTCAGCGGGACGTTACGCGCGCTACGACCCGCTGACGTCAGCTGCTTCCGCCGCCTACCGTTCCTCGTCAGAGTGGGGCAGTCTGTTCGTTCTGCACCTTTCCCGGGTGCAAGACTGGGTGGTGCCTTTCAGCGTGACAGTTGCTGATCCAACGAACGCGACCGAGATCGAGGGTTCCGCTGGCGGGCCGGAAGTTGGGGGGGTCTTTCACTATTCCGCATCCGTCACCGGAACGGAACGTGTTTTTGCTACGGCAGCTTACTACCCAGGGGAAGCGCACCCCATGAACGCGCGAGTGAGCGCTTCGAGCGGACGGACGCTCGTGGCGACCACTGAGTCGGAAGAAATGACCATAACGGTCGCCTCTGCGATGCTTCATCTGAGCCAGGGAGGAGACGTATACGATCCCATCAACGGCTCGTTTGTATTCAGCGACGTGCGCAGCCAAAGCGGCGACCGCTTCTTCGTGCGCGCGTTCATATACGCCATTTGCGCCCCCGATGACATCAGCAAGTTGTCAACCTTCGTCAACTGCACGTGGCTGGAGGTGGCTGATCAAAGCGTGACGCTCCGCTCGATGCCACCAATCAGACCGTGACGCTTGGCAACCTGGGGGGCACCTGGAACACTCTGCACGTGTTGTCCAGGGTTTCGGTGGTGACGCGGCCGCCCGCGCCGCCTGCCAAAGACGCGTCCGCGGCCGCGGCGGGGGTTAGCGTGCAGGCGGCGTTGATTGTGTCGGCGGTCGTTGCCGGTCTGTGTCTCGTTATTGGACTGCCATTGGTGGCGATGAACCGGGGGGCATTGATGGGGGCAATCGCTCGGCGGAGAGGGCGACCGGCGCCAGGGGACGGACACTCGGCCTAAGAGTATCCGTTTCGCGAGCAGCGAGCGATTGCAGGGACAGTTGTTGTCGCCAAGTTACGACACTGGCTAGAGTTCAAGGAGAGATTTCGGAAGCGGGTGTTTCGTACTCGGAGGGCGGCCCTTTCAGACGAGGCCTGAAGGTTATAATGATCGAATCAATTTCCGGTGAATTTTTGATCAGACAATTAGCAACAGGGTCAGCTCGCTGGAATTCGTTGATTGGCTAATAGCTGTGTTGTCAACTTTGCGCTTGGTCCTTATAGTATAGGTTAAAGTGGCAAACGTAGATGGCCTGGCTGGTTGCTTAAGATGCTCGGTGCAGGCAGTGAATAGGTGCATACGAAGGTGCAAGTCCATGTCGCTTCCCCCAACATTTGTACCACAGACTTTCAAGTTTAGGGTGTGTCATCCGCCAAGGACCAGCGCGGCATGAAGTGAGAGCAAATCAGGACCGCGGGTGTCCTAACCGATGGTTGAGTCAACGTCACCAGATCCAGATCATCGTCATTGCACGATTCTGTGGCTGATTAGCGGTACTCTTGCACATATATATCTGCGTGCTCGCATTATTATCCGTTTTATTTGATAGGATGTAACGATGTTTGCGTACTCAGGTCACTGAATGTCGCGAAGTGGACATGCTGTAGCAGATGTACCTGTACTGTAGACTTCGTGCGTATCTCATGCTTATCTGCAAGTTGGAGCACATGGGGAGCACATTGCAACTACGGTATTAGTGCAGGTGAGCAGGCGACTCGACTACTTGATTTTGAAACTCTGGCGATCCTTCTTGGATTGACAAGCGATTCGTTGATGTGAGTGAACCGTTGCGTGTGTATGCATTATTTGCATCGTACCTCTAAGTTCCAAGATTTGTTTGCCACGTGATTCACATGCTACTGGGCTGTTCCGACCTTTCGGTTTAGCTCGGTTCGGAAAATATTAGGGGCACGGTCAGGCTGTTGCAGGCTAAAACCCCCACGGCGCAACCGGCCAAGTCCCCCGGCAGAGCCTCCCGGGCTCGACAAAGACAGTAAATCCTGTCACACCGGACCGGATCGAAAGCTGGAACATGCTGGTGCTGCTGTCCGCCACGTGTCCTTTTTGGGAGGGCGAATGCACAAACAAAAGTTGGGGGACCGCCGAACTCAAAGTTCTGCTACAAATTCAATGCGGCTATTGCGGGGGGATTGCGGTGGAGCCAGGTGGAGCTGCCAGAATTCCAAGAAGCGCCTGAGGCTGTAGCAGCGCCTTTCATCCGCAAAGGCTTCCTGGCCAACAAAGAGCCGTTTCGTGTTGTGCTTGGTCAATATTGTGAACCTTGAAACGCACCAGAGCTGCGCATTTGCCTCGCAAACCTTTCCTCCAGATCAGGTTGTTCTTGGAGCCAAGCAGATGATTTGGACGAGTTCTGCAAGCGGGGGATCTCTGCTGCTGAGCTGCAGCCTTCGGTTGTGCTAGCCTACCACTCTTCAAATGGAGTTGCAACGAAGGCCGTGACGGGGACAACATTGTCAGAGTGAGCATGTTGACCTTTCAATGCTGTTGATTTTGGTGTATTTCAGGTCACATCACTGCTCTTGCTGTGAAGGGAAGGAGAAGAATCACAGGGGAGTACTGATGTGTGTTGGCTTATCTCAGACGTAATGATTGTCTTACTTGTAAGGGCCCATTCAGTTGTCGGGAAAAGTCCCAAGGAACATAATTGAAGCACAAATGGCATGGAGGAAAGGTGTCACTTTGCATTGTCCCTGTCTTGCAAATCTATCAGAAAAGTAACTGGCCCGTCTGAGCTACATTGCTAGTTTGATGATTGTCTGTTGGCTTGCATTTTGAAGCTCTTGAGCACAGCGCAATGCCCTTTTGGAGATGCCAGCTAGTCCCTCACAAGTGCATTCATAGTGGTACATGGCAGGAGATCCCTTATCTAATCATGGACCTGTTGCTGATGTTGTCGATCCTGTCAGCATCAGCTACAGTAGCAGCCATCACACATCAAGGCCTTTTATCAGAGAGAGCAGAAGTGAAGTCTTTGTTTCCTTCCAGACCGCCTGGCCGGTTTTGCTCAACAGCCGCTGCACCTTGCAATGCAGGTTAAAGTAAGCCAAGCGCTCTTCTCATGAGTGTTTGAGGGGCAGTCAAGTGGCTGGCAGCCCCTAGGCGCATCCAGAAACATCTGTCAAAATGGAGGCTTGGCTTCAAACGGAGTTTAACACGATTCTGGAAGACAATCAAGAGAGACTTGAAGAGTGGACTGAGGGCAAGGTTCACGTTCTAATGACCCTTCAGGACGGGAAGTGCGCCAACGTCACCATATGCGCACCGCAGTATGAGTGGCCCCTGATAGAGACCATTGGAGCGGCAGGAAAAAAGTGAGTACCGTACCAGATTCCCATCATGCATTGGGAGGCTAACAGAAGATAGTGGTTCCAAGTACAGCATTAAATGACACCTTATGACGACTCTCTTTCCGTTAACTTGCAACATGCTATTCATGTCTCTCTTGTCAGAAGCGTCTTGCCTGGTAGCATCACTCCATGTTAGACGTAAAAATGGAATCTGCCTGAAGAATGTCTGCACAAGATGGTGGGATTCAAAGTCAGTAGTAAATTGGGGCCTGTTTCTGGCCACCATATCTTCTAATACTAAGCCCTTGTCCCTACTTCTTGATTACTGAAGGCAAGCACTCTAATCCTTTGCAGCACCTTCTTTGTTGTCAGGAAGTCAGGGGTTGGTTTATTTGTCGCTTTCATGACAACCTGAATCCTAGAACTGGACTTAGGGCCTGGACTATTCTCTGAGCTTTGCTCAACCTTGAGGCTTCCAATAAACCTTGGATTTAAGAAGTGGAGCCAAACAAGTTATTTGTGTGCAGGGATTTGGAGGTCATTGACAATGACACCCGGGGCCTGCGCACGGCCGAGTGTTTCGAGGAAGTGAAGGCCAAGCACGTGGAACTTAATTCCATTGTGGCTGCCATCATCAAGGTTATGAATGACATGATTGGGAACAAACTTCCTCGATCGAAGGCTATCAAGAATCCTGACACCGTAAGTCCCTTTCCTAACCTTCTGATGAATGTAAGGAGAGCATCTGGTGCAAGAATCGGTGCACCACTAGCTTGGTGCCTGTTCTGCATCTTAGCCTTTGCAAGAGCTTACTAGTTCTACAGGGAGCTCTTGTTGAACGCTGCCTACTCTTGGGAATTTGCTGTTACTTCTGAGTTAAGCGAGATACATGCAAAGCGTTCATGATTGTTTGGACCAAGTTCTTGCTATGGACGGGGAAGGTGGTTTAACACCATTTTTACAAATAACATCCTGCCGCTTGCCTGTCAGTCCCAGAACACATTTTCTAAACACGTCAGCACCCTGATAGTTTGTAAGTTGTCATTCATGGACCTGTAAGATGATCTTTGAGTAGGCAGGGAGAGCTCCCAACCCGAGAACCCTTTAGTGTCAGGTTGCCTTAAATAAGTAATTGATTTGCATCCTGATGACAGAAAACTGCGTGCATGCAGTAAATGAGCCGATTCTGGCAGCTATCATCTGTACCTTTGACCTTGAATGTCCCAAAGCACTTCAAACGCAGTGGAGTGCCACGCAGGGCCAGAAGCCCCCTGATGATTCCATGCCGTTTCAAGAAAAGACGTGGTTTCTTCGAAGACATCACCTCAGAGTCTTTCCAGGTCACCCACCCAGTATCTCAAAAGATAATCTACCTCGTTTTAAACTGCTCTCCCTCAACGCAGGTTCCACCCTTCTACCCTGGACCCCCAAAAGCCTACGCCAAACGCGCTCAGGACATGAAGCGGTGCCAGCTGATGAACGTCATCCACTCCATCTTCGACTTCATCCAGCAATACCAGTGGGGGCCGCAAGACATCAGAGATCTACGCGATGCGCTCGTCAAGGCGGCGTGGCACCCGTTGGCCAGCAGCGTTGGCACGTGGGCCGCCCTAAACTGCTGCTTCCAGGCCCTGGAGGACAAGGCCCGTGCAGCAGCGTACAAAGACCGGAGGAACTTGGAAGACGGGTTGAAACTGGCGCAGCCTTACGTGGGGTGGAGGGCAGTGGGTCCGGACAAGATCTGGAAAGAAGTTCCGAAGAAGCACAAGAGGAAGAAGTCTGGGAAGGGATCAGACGAGGAGGAAGAGGAGGAGCAAGCCG